AGAGAGAGAGAGAGAGAGAGAGAGAGAGAGAGAGACCGTTAGCTACTAGGGGCCGGCCTTTGTTCTGGCCAGAGATGCCCTTCTCAGGCGGTCATCGTGGGAAGAGTTCTGCTGCAATCTCCTGCCACCAGGGCCCGCAGCACCATGCGCTGGTGCTCCCCGGCACAGTCAGCCCAGATAAACCTTCCCTGTCATTTCCGTCTGACAGGGGGAGTGAGATAGTGGTGGGTGGGGAAAATGGCTAAACAGCAGAAGCCTCCAAACAGATCTCAACCAGCCTACAGCTGGAGAGAGTGGTGGCGCCCTTGTTGTATACTGGGGATCTACCCTGGGACCCTTTGAGGCTACAGTGAGCCAGGCTGCCCAGAAGCACCCTTTAGGCAATCCAGACACAGCATCGGGTTGTGGGAGGAAGCAGACTGGACTCCCCACGGAGCCAGGCCAGAACAGGATGGAAAATCGCTGTTTCCAGTGCTCTTAGCAGAAGCCCGGACTTAGCCAGTTTGTGACTAGCTCAGGGCTACAAACTTAGGGGAAGAGCAGGATTGTAGCGGGCCTGTCTGCTTTAAAGTCCTGACTGAGGGGATGTTACTACGGATGGGGACCCCCACCTCAGATAGCTCCTGTATCAACCTCATTCTGGCACGCCTGAATCTGCTGACATTGTGGCCGTGGAGGACGTGGTCTACTACGAATTCTGCTAACCTGCCATGCCTGGGCAGCCTGCTGTGGCCAGGCCAGCACTGTAGAGGGAGTCAATGGGACCCTGGCTCCCCCTAGTGGTTCCTCTTGAGAAAGATCCCTGGGTCCCCAGTGAGGTCTTCGATGGAGAGACCCACAGGCTGGGCAGGCACAACTTTGTGTATGTCTCCCAAGGACCACAGCTCTTAAAGCTCAGTGCAGCCCAAAAAGTCTCTTCAGAATCTCCCTGGGAAAACGGTCCTTGCTCTGGACCGAGGCTACTTAAACTTTTCCACTGTGACTCCTCTCCTCTTGGGAAAAAATTTAAATTCTACTGAAGCACTTATTTTTAATTTTATTTTATCTTGGCTTTGTTTTGTTTTTGTAGCCCTGCTGTTCTGGAGCTTGCTACATAGACCAGCCTGGCCTTGAACTCACAGAAATCCTCCTGCCCCTACCTCCTGAGTGCTGGGGCAGAGCACTATTTTTTAATTTTACTTAATTTTTTTTCATTTTACATACCAACCCCAGTTCCGCCCCTTTCTCTTCTCTTGTCCCCCCCACCTCCCCCACATCCTACCACCCATCCATTCCTCAGAGGGGTAATGCCTCCCATGGGGAGTCAACAAAGTCCAGCATACCAAGTTGAGGCAGGACCAAGCTCCTCTCCCCTGTATCAAGGCTGAGCAAGGTATCCCACCACAGGAAATGGGCTCCAAAGAGCCAATTCATGCACCCAGGATAAGTCCTGGTCCCATTGCCAGGGCCTCCCCCACACACACACAACATATTAAGCACATAACCATTGCCCACATTCAGAGGGCCTAATTCGGTCCCAGGCAGGTTCCCCCACTGTCAGTCCAGAGTCTGTGAGCTCCCACTAGTTCGGGACAGCTGTCTCTGTGGTTTATCCCCATCATGATTTTGAACCCGCCCCCCCCCACTCCTTGCTCATATGATCCCTCCTCTCCCTAGTCACCTGAACTCCAGGAGCTCAGTCCAGTCCTTGACTGTGGGTCACTGTATCTGCTTCCATCAGTTACTGGATGTAGGTTCTGTAATGGTCTGTCCTGTCCCTTTAAGAGACAATCCCCACCCACAGGAGGATCTTTGGCTTCCAGTTTGAGTCCCTTTCCTTTCTATCTCTCTCCAAGAGAGGTAGCTGTGGCTCCTCTTCTCACCTCCCCTTTCTCTCTCTCTCTCTCTCTCTCTCTCTCTCTCTCTCTCTCTCTCTCCCCCCCCCCACTCTTCCCTCTTCTCCCCTTACCCCATCTCCCCTTCCCCTCCATAACCCACTAAATAAATATCCAGCCCCACTCTGCATGGCGTGCCTATCCATGTCTGTCTCTTACCTGCTGTGTGGCTCCCTGGCTGGGACCAGCTGCCTTCGGAGACCTCTGGCATGATCTCATGGCGTGCCTATCTGTCTCAGTCTCTCACCCACCACGTGACTCCCTGCCTGGGACTGCCTTCATGGCTCACCATGGTTGTAGGACCGGCTGTCTGCCACTCTGGATCTGCAGCGTTTCTGCCACTGCGCCCCTTGGGGATCTGCAGCATTTTATTTAAACCATTACAGGTTCTATGATGACAATTAAGGTAGCCGCTAATCTGATTACAGAAGAAGGTCAGTTCAGGCACCCTGTCTACTATTGCTAACAGTCTTAGCTGGGGTCATCCTTGCAGAGGGCATATTCTTAATTTAACTTGCTTTATGTGTGTCTGTGTACCATGTGCATGCATTATGTCCCCAGTCCCCTGAGACTGGAGCTACAAATGATTCTGAGCCACCATGTGCATGATGGGAACCGAACCTGGGTCCTCGGCATGAGTAGTAAGTGCTCTTAACCACTGAGTCACCCCAACCCTAATGATTTTTTAAAATACTTATTTTATTTGGGTGCACGCGCGCGCGCACACACAGGGGCCTATAGATATCAAAAGAGAGTGTCAGATCCCCTGGAGTTTCCGGGGTTCTGGGAACCAGACTCTGGCCCTCTGTATGAGCAATGTGGACTCTTAACCACTGAGCCATCTCTCTGTCTCATTAATAATGACTTTTTTAAAATAAAATATAAGGCTGGGCGGTGGTGGCACACGCCTTTAATCCCCGCACTTGGGAGGCAGAGGCAGGCAGATCTCTGTGAGTTCGAGACCAGCCTGGTCTACAAGAGTTAGTTCCAGGACAGGCTCCAAAACCACAGAGAAACCCTATCTTGAAAATCCAAAAAATAAATAAAATAAAATAAAATATAAGACAGCAGCTCAAACAGAATCTAAACAGCACTTTTTAAAACCAAATATTCTGCAGCTGGGCACAGTGGCTCACACCTTTAATCCCACACTCAAGAGGCAGAGTCAGGTGGATCTCTATGAGTTCAAGGCCAGTCTGGTCTACAGAGTTAGGTCCAGGACAGTCATCGCCACATAGTAAGACTCTGCTTAAATACATAAATAATAAATAAAAAAATAGAACAAGTAAGCAAATAAAACCAAACATTCTAAAACAATAAATCCAAAGATTTGCTAATTTATTACTTGCACACTGAGAAATGGGAATAGAAAAAATGTTGAAAGATTCTGTTTTCTATAGTTAAGCATTTACTTTTTTTTTTTTTTTTCCCCAGACAGGGTTTCTCTGTGTAGTTCTGGCTGCCCTGGCATTTGCTCTGTAGACCAGGCTGGCCTCGAACTCACAGAGCTCTGACTGCCTATGCCTCCTGAGTGCTGTGATTAAAGGTGTGCACTACCACTGTCTGGCTGTATTTCAGTTTTTAACATACAATAAATAATATACAATGTGAGTTGAGGTTTCAGAAATCAAGTTTTGATGCTCCACGGCTACCAGGCAAAGCACATGGTCTGTGTTCTCAGAACCAAGTGAAGCTGCATAACCAAACACCAACCAACTTTGCCAGGGGCACCTCAGATTCAATACGCATTTGATTTAGAATTAGTGTGTGTGTGTGTGTGTGTGTGTGTTGTCTGTTTGTCTGTCTGGGAGCCATGTGTGTGTGCCTGGTGTCTGTCGAGGTCAGAAAGGGGTGTTGGATTCCCTGGGACTGGAGTTAGAGATGCTTGTGAGCCATCATGTGGGTGCTGGAAACAGAACCCAGTTCCTCTGCAAGAGCATGAAGTGCAATTAACCCCTGAGCAATCTCTCCAGCCCCTTGAACTGACTTTAGGTCACTGCCTAATCAGAAACCATTTAGTGTGGCCAGATTTCCTGACACCCCTGCCTGCCTCCGACACATTCAGTTACAGGATATGGAATTGCAACCCATTATAAGGAGGCTGTGATCTAAAGGCAGCTGGGGTGCATCCATAGGTAATTCCTCCAGAGGGCGCTCTGCTCACAGGAGTCTGGCTCCCTCAGCTTGCATCGGAGGCTTTCATCTTGAGCCTAGACCAGACCGCTTCCATTGCTGGGGAAGGGTGACTGAGCAGGAACCCTCTAGTAACCAACTCTTGCTGGCTATTTTCAGCTGCGGATTCTTTTCTTTTTTGTGTGTTCAGTCTTTAAATTTTACTCTTTAAAAATGCCATACATATATACAGTATACAATATCCTGGTCAAACCGCCTGTCACCCTGCTCCCAATTTCCCAACTTCATGTTCTCCTTTTATAACTATTTATTATCTATTTTTAATTCACTGAGTCCAGTTAGTGCAGTTGATGTATACATGGTCCTAGGGTCATTCACTGTGGCATTTTGAACCAAATTTCCACTCTGGCCCAGGTTGGCCTGGAACTCTCTGTAGCCCAGGCTGGTCTGAAAGTCACAGTGATCCTTCTTCCTCAGACTCCTGCGTGCCTAGAACATAAGCATGATGCAGAAGTGTGTGCTTAAATAGAAACTGTAACTCAATGGAGCCCTTGCTTTGGCAAACATTGGCTCACCCTCCAAGTGCAAGGTTGATAGGAATGAGCAAGATGTGAGCAAGGAAGAAAGGAAGGTGGGTTCTCCTTGCAGCACCCGAGGACCCTGGAGATAATTTGTTGTGGGAACTCATTCAGCCAATTAGCTTTTAGAATACTGGCCCTCTACAACTTCAAGGTGTGTCTTTTTCAGCATTGTCTGGGTATGGCCTCTCCAGGGAAAAGGCACAGATTCAGTATTTCTCATATAAGACATTTTGGTGATTCCGTTTACAGTGTCAAAGGTTGCTAAGAAACTTGGTTGGTTTTGTTTGTTTGTTTATTTCCTTTTCTCTAGATAAGTGATGTTATCATAGTGTGGTTCTGGGATGCCATGGATGGAATTATAACCTGATAATGTAAGCCAGGAGTCTCTAGGGGTGAGCCCTTGAGTACTTACCCGTCCTGTAAACAGGGCTCTAGGTAGGATTCTGAGACCTGCGGGGTGTGTCCAGGAGAGAAGGGCCTTGAGTAGTCCTGAGTTCTGCTGGATTTTTGCTTCTCAGCTGGAGAATCTTCAACCAGAATCCAGAGTGAGCTCTTTCTCCTCATCTTCTCTCAGCCTTCCTGGTCTGTCTTCCCAGACCTGGAGTAAAACCCTGAGCTATTTATCCTGTGGAGTTTCAGGGTAGCAACAGAAAAAGCTCTTAGCTTTGGACACCGCCTTTGCTGGAGAGGCGGCTGTGCTCCATGAGAAAAAGATAGTTGGGGAGCCATTTGGAAATCCATTTCAATCAATATTGCTGGAGCGACAAGGCATGCTATGTGTGTGTGCATATATATGTAGTGGCTACAAACAAGAGATCCTGGCTTAGGGGTGGTTAATTAGTATTTTGAGTATAGAGGTAGATCCTCTCCACCTGGACCAAAGGTCAGAGAATTCAACTCTATTGCTTATATCATGTTAATGAAGTCTGTTGGCTCCCCGCTCCCCTTTTGGAGTGAAGTATATAAGCGTGTGGAAAATAAACGCAGCCGCTCAGTGTTCACTGAATGTCCTTCCCGGTGCTATTCTGTGTTTCTGTCTCTTATTTTCTCTCATATCTCTGTTCTTTTTGCCGAATAATTCTAACCCTCACGCTCCTACCCTGGACCGTGCAAATTTCGCTGAGGCTGGACCCCGACACATCCGATTCCCCTTTCCGCTGACCTGACGCATCCTTTGGGCTCGTCATTGATGAAATGCTGAGCTTGTTCCCTTCCCATCCTCACACGTCACAGTAGAACTTCTTCTGACACCCCAACTCTGGGGCGGGGCCCTGAGAGTGAGGTGTCTAGTAAGCCTGTGGCTCACACTCTGAGAGTCTCCCTCCTGAGTGCTCAGGGCTCTGTTGTGAGGGAAAATTCTCCTGAACTAATGGAAGATCACATCCCCAGGATCCACAGGGCGCCTCCCAGACACCATCTCCCAGATTCCCACAGAGATTCTATTCTTAGCAACTCCAAGTGGCCCAGCTGGGGAAGCAGACTAGCAGGGCTGTTGAGTCTGGGCACACACTCAGCCTCAAAATACAACCCTAGGAGACCAGAATGTGCCACTCAAAATACAGTGCTGTGGTGTATTTTGAGTGGGTTATTCTAAGAGCTGCAGAAACACAGTAGCTCTGAAAAGCTGTTCTTTCCTCAAAAGGCTTTTCCGTGTGTGAAGGACGGCTAGTTCAGGAAAGCAGGTGTGTCAGAAGAGGGCCAAGACCTGTCTACACAAGGAAGCAACCCTTCTTCCCCAACCTCTTCCGCTTTCTCCCATAATTCAACTGGTGCCCTCTGCAGGATCCCACATCCAGTCCAGTTCTCAGGAAACCTCAATCACCTGGACCCTCTTTTGACTCTGCTTTTTTGGGACTTCCTCTGCTTAAGTATGTAATATCACACCAGGAATTTTTGTTCGTATGTTTTATGTCAGTTTAATTTGTAGCAGACGAAGAACCCGAAGGTAGAGTTGAAGTCACTTCCCCACCACCAAGACAACACGCCCTCCCCAACACCCACACCGTGCTAGCTGACCTGGGCTGTGTGCTTTCAACTCAAACAACCACAGCTTGTACCCTTACAACTGGCACTCCCCTTGGTCATTGAACATTTAACAGTGTAAAGACCTCAGGTGGGCTGAGGAACTCTGGTCAGGAGAGTCGCCTTCACTGACAACACCTGTGGGCTCTGAGGCTCCAGGAGCTTCTGCTAAGATGAGGATGAACGAGCCTCCCTAGCTGTACATGTTGAGACTTCCGTCGAAGACATCTTCCGTACCAAAAGTTCCCTTTCCAGCCTTCTCAGGCCACCCCTTGCATCCTGCAGCCGTCTCCACTGCCTGCAGCTGCTCTGATTAAAGACTGGCTTTGCTTCTGAAAGAGGCCAGTCCCTCTTCATAACAAGTCGCCTAGATCAATCCTGATCTCACAGTGGTAATCAAACCTATCTAATTGAATTAAAGACAGGTGTGGTGGTGCGCGCCTTTAATCTCAGCCCTTGGGAGGCATAATCAGGCAGATCTCTGTGAGGTTGAAGTCAACCTGGTTTATAAAGTTCCAAGATAGCCAGAGTTACAAAGTGAGACCCTGCTTCAAAAAACAAAACAAACAAACGCCCATTTAACAAGAAAAAACTCATGCCTGGCACTGGAAACCTAGCTCACTACTCAGGGTTAGTAAAATCATGGATCTTGAAGGAGAACCTACAATCACCACTAAACCAGCATAATATCCCTAGCTACACTTGAAATATTTGTCCTCATACCCACAGATAAGAGTAGTCTTCATCCCCGTCCCCGGAAACTTCTCTTTGCAACAGAGACTATTACAGAAAACCACAAGTGATCAAAACGCAGACTTTTAGAGCCCAGTTCCCACTGAGACATCTATAACACAATGGCCGCACCCAAGGCTCAGGGATCATTGTGGAAGGGGGGGGGGGGGCAGAAAGTCGAGAGCCAGAGGAGCAGAGACTTTGCTGTGAGATTGTGTCTTCCAGAAATGTCAGAAGCTACATCCATGAAGTTCCACCAACATGGTTTCCTAAGCATGACCTGAACAAAGAAACACCAACAGACATTAACATGCAAAGGCCATGAGGCCTCAATCCTACAAAAAGAGCTACAGGCATCTAAGGGACACAGAGTGGAAGAAATAGTCTTCCCCAGGGAAGAGCACACCAATTCATTATTCAATACCAAATGGTCAGCTCTGAAAACACACATACAAGTAACATATAGACTGAGCAGATTATATTTAGAACACACACACTGTTGTGGTTTGGAAGAAAATGGCCTTCATAGTGGCACTAATATGAGGTATGGCCTTGTTGGAGGAAGTATGTCACTGGGGGATGGGCTTTGAGGTTTCCTATGCTCAAGATACACCCAGTGACACAGTTCACTTCCTCCTATTGCCTGTGGATCAAGATGTAGAACTCTCAGCTTCTTCTATAGCATGCCTGCCTGCATGCAGCAACCATGCCTCACCATGATAATGGACTAAACCTTTGAAACTAGAAGCCACCCCAGTTAAATGCTTTCCTTTATATGTGTTGCCATGGTCATGGAGACCGCACAGAACAGAACCCTAACTGAGACACAAGGGACAAAGGGAGTCCATGGAAAGGCTTAGAAGCAGGAAAGAGAAGCAGAAATGATGTCATTTTATTCTAAAAGCACTGGCTTCTACGGCAGACATGCTTCAGGGGAATAAATTGAGGAAGTGCCTTTGCCACCTCCCCTGGATGCCCTCCTGGGAAGGGACACATCATGCCACAGACAGGTCATCAAGACTCTCCAGGACCTGGGCCTCAGGAGAGGCAAGATGTATCATGGCAGAACCCGTCTCCTCACGTTAACCTACTTGACCCTCACCTTCCTGCCCCAACCTGAGCCTCAGAAGACAGGAAGTCCCAAAGCCATCGCCTTTGCAGGGACTACCTTAGGCTACGAGAGGGAACTCCACAAACTGTCAATTGGCTGAGGTCTTGTTGAGTTTACCTGGCGAGGGGGCCATCCTGGGCGCCTCTCTAGGGAAATTCTTAGGTCCTTTTTACCTGGTGAACTATGTTTGTGCTCTGGAGTTGAGACAATGGCTTCCTGCATCCTGTTTGCTTTTATTTCTTCTGAGATCCAAGTGAGCCTTGGTGGCCCTCCTCAGACAGGAAAGGGACAGACCTCGTCTGAGGTGTAGGGGGTAATGCCGCATTCCCAAAAGCACTCAAAAGCGTTAAAATAACCATTAGTGTTAATGGTAGGCTATTTTTAGGACACCTTTCAGTGTATATTTTCTTGTAAATAAGCAAAAAGGGCAATTTGACTTTCTAAATGACAGCTGTTGGACTGGACTCTCTGCTGCCCTGAGTGAAAGAATCGCTGCTAAGAGCTACTGGGAGCCCTCAGTCAGCTCGAGGGCCATTCTCAACACGAGACACCGTGGGGAAGCTCTACAACAAGACTGTGTGCTCTGGCTCCAGCTGTGACCATCTTAAGCGTCTGTGATGGACTTCCCTGCGGTCATTTCCACCCAGACCAGGAAAAGGAGCACTTCACCTGGTGGCCCAGCAAAAGGACTGTTGTGACTTGTAGGTACAAAAGAGACAATGCCACACTTGGTGAAAGCACAGTCCTTCATCTGCATGAAGGTCTGCTGGGATTGCCGCTAAGACCTCACCGTCTAAGCAGGCTGCTTACAGCTCTCGGAGACTCAGTTGGGAGACACTGTGGTGGTGGGAGTGGTGGGGGTGTTGCTGCTGCTGTGTGTGTGTGTGTGCGCACGCGCGTGCGTGCGTGTGCGCCTCCGAGTGGAGCCCAGAAGCCTAAATCATGTCTACCTCCATCACTCTTCACCTTACTCTGAGACTTGGTCTGTCATTGGATCTGGGCTTCACCATTCTGCCTGGGCTGGCTGGCCATTGAGATCCAGGAGTCTGCCCTTCTCCTGTGCTGAGGTTATACACTTGCGCTACAGCACCTGGCTTTTATGTTAATGCTAGAGGTCTGAACTCAGCTAGCAATCTCCCTAGACATGAAAACAGTGGTTCTCGACCTGGGGGCTGAATGAGATCATCAAAAACCACAGGTGTTTACATTGCAATTCATAACAGTAGCAAAATCATAGTTATGAAGTAGCAATGAAAATAATTTTATGGTTGGGGGTCACCACAACATGAGGAACTGTTTTAAAAGGTCGCAGCACTAAGGAAAGTTGAGAACCATGGCCTTAAAGGCATCTTTTTCTTTCTTTCTTTTTATTAAATAATTTTTTTTAAATATTTTATTTATTTATTATGTCTGTCTGTGTGTATGCCCGAAGGCCAGAAGAGGGTGCCAGACCTCTTTACAGATGGTTGTGAGCCACCATGTGGTTGCTGGGAATTGAACTCAGGACCTTTGGAAGAGCAGGCAATGCTCTTAACCACTGAGCCATCTCTCCAGCTCTATTAAATAATTTTTCATTTATTTTACATAACAACCACAGTCTCCCCTCCCTCTTCTCTCCCCGTTCTCTCCCCACACCTCCCATGGGAGTCAACAAAGCATGTCATACCACATTGATGCAGGACCAAGTTCTTCCCTCTGCATCAAGGCTGGGCGAGGCATCCCTGCATGGGGAA